GCCCCCATCCACGATGATCGGCACAGGGACGCGGTGAGAAGTAAGGAGGAGCAGGTGTGGGGGGATGACAGCCGCCGATAAGACAGGCCCGATCTCAGAAGCAGGTTGCAGGAAGACTGCTCAGGTAAGCCTGCACTTTCCCCCACATGGTGCTCTATAATGTATTGCTGGGATTTGTATTCCTCTATAGCTGATGGTACACTGGAGTACTATAGAGGACTACAAATCCCAGCAATACATTATACACTGTATGTATAATGTATTGCTGGGATTTGTTGTATTTCTATATAGCTGGTGGTATTCTGCATTGCACTGTATAGAGGACTACAAAACCCAGCAATAGTACATTATACAGCGCAATACGGAATACCACCAGCTATGGAGGACTACAAAACCCAGCAATAATACATTATACAGCGCAATGCAGAATACCACTAGCTATAGAGGACTAGAAAACACAGCAATAGTACATTATACAGCGCAATGCAGAATACCGCAAACTATAATGTTGTACTATTGCTGGGTTTTGTAGTCCTCTATAGCTGGTGCCATTCTGCATTCATTGCTCTATAATTTTACAGTTTTCATTTCACTATATTGCACACCACACTTTTTTTTTTTTACTTCCACCGCTCCAAGCTCGCTCCTGTGATGGACTACAATCTCAATAAAAACTAGTAGTAGTCCCATCAGTGGAGCCATTTTTTAAAATGTATTTTATTTTATCCGATTAAATCGAATTTAATAATCGGCTAACTAATCGATTTTGAAAATAATCGTTAGCTGCAGCTCTAAAGAAATTATACACATATGTGGTATCCCCATGTATGTCCACAGGAGAATTTATTTTGAGCTTTTCGGGGAGGGGGTGGGTAATGGCAAAAAAATGCAGCTAAACTTTAAAAAATGATAATTTTTTTTACTATGTTGATAATATATTAAAAAAATATTAGGCGGTATCCATTAACATTCACCACCAAATAAAAGCCCAATTTGTCCTGAAAAAAACAAGGAATAATTCACCTGAACATAGGAAGTAGTTGTAAAAGATATGTGTAGCTAAAATAAAATGTTTTTTTTTTAACTTTCACTTTTGTGCCTTATTTGAACCTGTATTGATTTAAATAAAAAAAAAACCCTTTGGCTGCATTGTGTTTTGAGGTAGAACGCTGACTGACAGTTGGTGCTTATCTTAGTACAAAGTCTGTTTCGTCACACTTGAGGAAGGCGTGCACTCGAAGGGCGTTACCCCGCCACATTTGAATTTTAAAAGAGTTTTGTTTTTAGCTGGAAGAAAGCCAGTGTCATCAGGCAGATTACGCAAGGGGTGAAAAAAAATAATGCAGACAAAAGTTATGTAACTAAACGTGCTTTACAAATACTATTACACAGACACACATCCAAAGATTCTGTACACCATTAACAGTGACATTTTATAATAAATTAAGTTTTACCTTGTTTCCCCCAACTTTTGTCAAAATATATTCTGTAATGTTTACAAAGAAAAATATATCTAAAAATCAAGGTGAAAGTTGGTTAGATTCTTTTTTTGTGTGTGCGATATGATTTAAAAATGTCTTGTTTTTTTTTTTTATAAATAGATGAGAGGTAGGGGTAATATTTTTTGCAAGAAAAGGCAAGCCTGTCACAAATATAAAGCTATGAAGGCAACCTAAGGGAAAAGCAGCACCAGCACACACCTTTTTTTCTTCAAATTATTCTCCTGGGCATGCCATCAAAGCCACACACAATCATTACTACAGATAGCATCTTTAACGTTCATGTCAGAGACCTGGCATTCTATGCAATACATGTGCTTTAGCAACATACTAACACACAGGCGGACAGCAAGGGGCAATGCCAGAGCTCAGACTTGGATCTTATAGTAACACTAAACTCAGGAGTTAAATCTTAGAAATGTATTTAACTACCGGAACTATTAACAAAAATGTATCTTATTTGTATATCACTCGGCTGTAGATCCTCAAACCATCTCTGAATTCATGCTGACACTGTCCTTCCTTCTGGAGGGTGGCTACTTTTGTTCCCCATGGTCTCTGTGTGTACTGTAAAGTAGTCACCGCTTCAAGCTCGCTTCTGTGATAAACTACCATCTTATTTAGTTTACTAATGTGTATTGAGATTGCAGTCCCCATCGCAGGAGTGATCTTGGAGTGGTGACCACTTTACAACACACACAGGGACCATGGGGAACAAAAGTAGCCACCCTCCAGAAGGAAGGGCAATGTTAGCACCAATTCAAAGATCATTTGAGGATGTACAGCTGAGCTATACACAAATAAGATACATTTTTGTTAATAGTTAAGGTGCTTGATTGTATTTCTAAGATTTAACTCCTGAGTTTAGTATCATTAACAGTAACCTATATCCAAATAATATGGATGCTGTAACCACAAAGTTCCCTTTCAGAAATGCAAGTTGCCTGGCTTTAAAACATTCTACGATCACTGATCTTGAAAAAGTAAGCTGATGAAGACTTTACGTGCTTGCCGCAGCTCAGAGGGTCAAAGTATTGCAGCTGGCGACATCCAAGCAAATAGCAATTTCACAGGCAGTTCAGCAATAGCAGTCTTAAGATTTCCCTCAGTACAGGGTAACTTTAAAAGGAGATCTAGTAGGTGAGTGATTTCCACTCATCCTCATAGTTAGAGCCGACCTGTGACAAAGAAGCGGTCACAGGTCGGCTCTATTGATCGGGAAGTGAGCAGAAACATTCACCAATCTGCTCACTTCTCGATCACCTCTCTGCAGTCACTGTCAGTTACCGCTCTCCACATGGATTCCCCCCTCCAATCCTGCAGCACTGACTGGACGAACGGACAGCGGAGGGGGCGGGCCCAGCTGGCTTCGCCTCTAGATAGGCAGAGCCCGCTGTCACTCATGCAGCTCGGTGGATCCAGACAGTATTGTCGGGAACCGTCCCGGCAGCGGCACTCTCAGTATATCGCGGGCAATAGCTTTGGGTCACGGGAGGACATTTTATGTCCTCCAGTGAACCTAAAGAGAACTATGAGGATAAACACTTACCCCATAGTTCTCTTTCAAATGTAGGGCCAGCAAAGAGTGTTGCCATGTTTAGGGCAGTATGCTTGGGAGAATCATTTAGAGGAAAAGAAATACATGCAGGTACTTCCACTAGCACCTTTTAACTTAAGTTGCCTCTATAGCCCTTTATAGCTTTATATATGTGAATCAATTCATTTTAGTAGTTTGTGGATACGCTGGTGGACTGCAAATGTTATGCTGGTATCATACTTTGGCTGAAACAAATGACTACTCAATGGGCTCATTAACACCTCCCCACATTTCACTTATTTTCATGCACTTAAAGCAAAATAACCAAAGTAGACGATTTACAGAAAAGCTCGGTATTGGGAAATGATAACACAGAGTTAAATTTGTCAGAATACTAAAAGGGCCCGTTATGTGCAGGTACATTTCATTCAAGAAACACATTTCCTCTAACAGGCGTGTATAGGTGTGAATGAGCCATAAAGAGGAAAACACAATATTTTGCCCTCAAACGTAAAACATTCATGTGCAATTCTGAAATATTCCTTAATATTAATAAAAAAAAATGAAACTACTCCAAGGTCCAAGCATCTTCACGCTAAGCGCCAGGACTATACAACCCATCCTTATAGATCCTAGATAAAGGCTTATCACAGAAGATCAGTATGGTATGCGCAGAGTGTATGGGCAAGTGTTTCTCAATAAAAGGCCAGATATAACTCAAGCAGCCTTTTCAACATATAACTAAACTATTCAAACAGCTACCTTACCAAGATAAAGATGTCAAAAATGACAGCAAGAAACATGCATCTTTATGTGTTAATAAATACACATTCAGAAGAACCCACACAATTCACACAGCAGCAGCTGATCGCATACATTCTTTGGGAAGTCCAGTAATCCCACTGGAATGTGCAATGTTAAACGTCTAATCTAAATCTATGAGATAGTAAATATGGTAGCAGCCCAGTTGGAGGTATAAAAAAGAAAACAAACATTGGGAAACCTAGAGAAAGGAACAATCATCGTAAATAAGTTTTTCCGAGTCACCCCCCAGGCGTGGTAACCCTTGCCAAATTGAATTTGCTACACAGGAGTATAATGTATTTCAGAAAGGTAAGGAATGTGGCAGATAACACACTAACATTTAACTTTCTTCTACTTCTACTTCTCCTCAGTACGAACTCTGTACTGTAATAACTAGGATGGCAATGTAAAAAAAAAAGTCTTCTTCCATTCAAGGTGCCCTGCAAATCTGAGCTCATTTGATTCTAGTGGATGTCACGTTTCCCATGTATAGTCTCTGAAGGCAATCTGAATGAGACGTAGTTCAAGCTGAAAGGCATCTGGACGCTCCTGAGGGTTAACAGACAACATCTGTTGCAACAATTGTTTCATGCGCTGATTCATGGTTTTTTTCTTGATGGGAATAGGAAGTTCCATTTTGGGGTTCTCAAGCAGTGCTGCTCCCACTGGAACTGTTTGTGTCCCCCGTTGAACATAGCCACCAAGCAATATTTTTTTGGTGTGACTGTCCAAGATAGTTAAGCGTTCAAGCATGGCCCAGAGTATTACTCCTAAGGCAAAAATATCTGCTTTTGCTGTATAATGGCCCTCCCACACCTCGGGTGCCATATAGAAATCAGTGCCACAAGCAGTAGATAAGAAGCTCTTGTTGACGCTGGCTGGTTCTTCGGGGTTCAACCCTGAAGTAGAACATACTTTACTCAGCCCAAAGTCAGCCACCTTCAAGGTAGGTTCATCTATACCATCACGTGCTTTACACACCAGAATATTGTCAGGCTTTAGGTCACGGTGTATTATCTGGTTCTTGTGTAGAAATGCAAGTGCACTACTTAGTTGCAGCATGAAGCTGGTGTTTGTTCGACGACTTGGCCTTCTTGTTAAGATGTACTCGTTCATATCGCCTCCATCACAAAAATCCATCACGAACCATAGGCAATAGGTACTGCGTGGGTCAAAGGCAATCTTGCCTTTTAGAGATGTTTCCACCAACTTCAAGAAAACAAGAAAAAATATAAATGGGAAATTAAGTTAATTAGTATCCAAATCACAAGCATAGAACACTAGAGTTAAAAAATCACATATTCAAACTGCCAAAGTAATGTAGAAAAGGGAAGAATATTCTTAAACAGAATACA